TAAACAGTTGAGAAAAAGTTACGTGGAATGAATTATCATTTGTACATCTAGATCATCGAATAAGATGATATGAACTTGAAGTTCATAAAAGATAATTCATCTACAATATATTGCAATGCATGCCGGACGCATTTGCTGACCCAAAGAAAGTAACTATATTCTCATTGCAAATGCTCCTATTAAGTCCTAGAAGGACAAAGTCTATGGTACACTTAAAGCGTATAGACAAATCGGTTTCAAATAACCACTTCTTGATAAAGAAGATGAGCAAATGATCAAAATGATCATAATAAAAGGAGGCAAGTGATCTAGAAGATCACATGACATAACACTTTATAAAATCTCAAGAGAGATTCAGGTACCTGAAAATATGAATGAAGAGATCTCTATGTCATGTCTTTATGAAAATAAAGCTGGAACCGATATAAAATGTTCGTCAACGACATCTATATTAGCGCTAAGTATAGACGAGGATCTTAAGTCTGTCGAATATAGACACAAAAATATTGGCCAAATGAAAGAGACACAATTCGAATAGAATTTGTTTCATACGAAAGACGTATAGTTTTGGACCTTTAGTTCAAACACTTGAAAGTATGAAGCCAATGATATGTGCAATTAGTTTTCGATATCTTATTTGTCTAGCATGACATGAAAACTTGATATGCATCTAATTAAAGTCTATTATATGACTTATATGACAATCCTTGAAGGATTTAAATTGCTTAAATCATATAGAATTCATGGTCATCCTCAGTTCAATTTGTGCACAAATGTATCTTGCTATAACTATAGGCATGATAATATGATGGCAAGAGTTTTCACCTCTATATGAAGATATTGAACTGACGATTCCAACAAGATCATATGAAGACAATTCATCTCTATCAAGAATGATGATTTCAAGGTGCAATATATTCATTCAAGTTAATATGGCTGATTTGCTTATCAAATATCTGCCAAAGATCTTTTGAAGATGGTGTACAAGATTGGAATGCAAATGCTTAAGGATGTGAATTGATGCTCTCATCAGGGGGAGTTAATACGCGTTGTACTCTTTTTCCCTTACAAGATTTTGTCCGACTGGGTTTTCCTTGCAAGGTTTTTAACGAGGCAACCAAAAGGCGTATTGTTAGATATGTGTACTCTTTTTCCTTCTCTAGAATTTTTTTCCCACTGGTTTTATTTTAGTTAAGGTTTTAACGAGGCACATTATCTGTTGAATAGACATTCAAGGGGGAGTGTTATAAATAGAATTCTATTTATGGTAAATGTCTATATTTAGAGAGATTCTAGGGTTTATTACTTGGTGATTAAGTCACTTTCTCCCTATAAATAGAGGGTTTTATTCCATTGTAAATCATCCCAAAATTCAATAAGAATCTCTCTCTCTTTCTCTGCAATATTGTTCTTGTTCTTTTATTATTTTATAACAACTAGTTATTAATATATTATCCTTATTTCTCAAAAAGAAAAAGTTAATGGGGGCTTCGGACAGGGATGGTTAATAAGCTGGGTCGAATAAGATTTAATTAAATCTGGCGTGGGTTATTTTAAGTGAATGAGGGCTTGCCACATGACTTTTTAAAGCTAGGAATGAAGTTTTAACGTTTAAATTTCACGGTATAGCCAGTTTTCGGACTGGTCAATCAAAAATAGCCAGCGTCTACCAAGTCAATGAAAAATAGCCAATATTTTGCTGCAATAGAGACCGGTCCAGCATAATATACTGGAGTTCGGTGCACTTGTGTATGAACTCCAGCATATTATGCTGGACCGGTATACTTTGCTGGCTCCAGTATAATATACTGGAGACTGGAGCACCGATGCTCAAAACTCCAGTATATTATACTGGACCAATATACTTGCTGGAACTCCAGTATATTATGCTGGAGTTCTAGTGTACTTATGCTGGAACTCCATCATATTATGCTGGAGTTCCAGCATACTTATTCTGGAACTCCAGTATAATATGCTGGAGTTCAAATATACTTATGCTGGAACTCCAGCATAATATACTGGAGTATTTTCCAGGTTTTGAACCGTGTTTTCGCTCAGATTTATCTTTATATAAAAAGTGGCTAAATTTCGATTACTTTTGAAATTGAGCTATTTTTGAATGACCAGTTGTAAAGCTGGCTATTTTTAAAATTTACCCAGTTTTAACGGGTGAGGTAAAAATTGCTTTGAAGTATAATAGTAGGGAAATATTTGTTAAAAAAGTAAAATTTAGAATAAATATAATTTATTTTCGATAATAAATGGTCAATATGACCCTTTTAATTAGCATGTGCGGAACTCAAAAACATATAACACTTGGGTTTCCATATGATTAATTACTCGGACATTAATCAAGAACAAGCCTATATTGTAGTCTCTGTACACCACATGTCATGTTCCTACATTGGTCGAAACTAGATTACTAGAATTCTTTGTGATCTTATATTTACCAAACTAACTGGGACACTACACGAAGAATGACAAACCCATTAAATAATTGGAGGTCCAGTGGGTAAAACCATGCTATCACGTTTTGTATAATTCTCTGGTATTCAATACAATTTGGCCCGACTAATAAGACTCAATAAACATGAAACTATTCTCTATCAGAAATTTAGAAACTCTGATTAAAGGTGAAATTGATCTCACTCGTCCCACCACACCTATTCCATTCCATTGGTGATAAAAACTCTGGCTATGACTTTTGGTCATTATCAAAAAGGAAAATGCAAATCAAGGAGATAGGTTAAGTAGCAGTACTTCCATTTTCAGAAATATTTTTGTGGTCTGCAGACTACTGCTCTTATGGATCAAAATGAGCTGTTCTGCATTCACACCTGAGCTGTTTCCAGTTTTACGTACACAGTTGTTGGTACTAATTGTCACTTCTTTTTTATTAGTATTTATGGAAAAAGAATATTTCAAGCGAGAGAAACCATCAGTAATTAATTAAATTAAATTTTGGTACTCTGAAAATATATTCAGTTGATTAATTAAATGGAGCTGCATATCCATCCATTTGATATTTCTTTTAAAGTCGGCCAGCTAAATCAAGGCTCATAAAATAAAGTACCCTAACCATAGGAATCGGATCTGGCCGGCCATCCTTCGTTTGCAGTTGACATTTGGCATTTTTTCATTGACAACAAAAACTTAGATATGGTGTTAATCTTTGTGGCAATTTTTTTCTAACCCTAATAGTCACAGTTTATTTAAGTAGTAGTACGTATGACCAGGGGCGAAGCCACCTTTTATAAAGGGAACTGACTAACTTTTACCGAAATATTACAAAAAATTACACTGGGTATATAAGTAAAATACTGATTTTAAATGTATAAAATATATATTGAACACCCTTTGTCGTTTAGTTCTTCCGAGTATGAATACCTTTAAAACATTTCTGGCTTTGCCACTGCCTATGACATAGGTACTCAATAGTTATAACTTATATAGTACAAAATAATATTAAGGGGTAGTTTGGTTAAGAAATAAGTTATACCGGACTAAATTAGTAATGCAGAAAATATTTTTTATCGGGCGTTATTGGTTTTTACAAAATTGAATATACAGTCTATAACTTAAACATATGTTTGATTTAAAATTGTAAGCAAATTTTATTTACAACAATACTCCTATATAGGGCTTTTCTAAGTATTTCATAACTGATTAAAGACACGACCATTGCACTATGAGTGACAGTCAACACTAGTACCACTATAAATTTCCTTTTCTAAATTACCTTTAATGTATCATTAAAATGAATAATAACTGTTGAGAGTCTTTTTAGAAAATTATATGACTCATTTATTGGAGCAAACAACAGCAGAATATAGAATAGTTGGCATGGCATTACATGAGCATAGGAAATAGAAAGAATGCAATGAAAATGAGCAACTGGATTTGATGAGGAAACACAATTCACAAGCCAATTAGTTGGAACTTCCAATTAAAGGTCGGTGCAACTCTTATTTGTCATCACACAAAAAAGAGGCTTCCCCTACATTTGCTGTTTTTAGGCCATTGATCAGGGACTTACTTCAGAAATCCAAAAATAGCTAGATTTATAGGTGGTCATTCAAAAATAGTCACAGTTTCAAAAGTCATCAGAATTTAGCCACTTTTCATGTAAAAATAAATCTGAACGAAAACACTATTCAAAATCCTGAAAATACTCCAGCATAATATACTGGAAATGAATATACTGGAGTTCCAGCAAAGTATACTGGTCCAGCATAATATGCTGGAAGTTCATACACAGGTGCACCGAACTCTAGTATTTTATGCTGGACCGATCTCTATTACAGCAAAATAGTGGTTATTTTTCAATGACTTGGCAAATGCTGGCTATTTTTGAATGACCAGTTCGAAAACTCTCTTTTCTGTACAACCACCTCAGTCCTGCACTTTCTTTTACCATCCACTCCAATCAGGGCGGATTTAGGGGACGGAAGGGGATTCACTCCAATGTTCAAAAAAAAAATTGCTTGAACCATATAAGTTGTAAGTATATTTCATTATTAATTATTGATCATATTGTTGGATTTGACACTTTACCAGCGACATGTTTGGTGGAGTAAATGCAGCCTCTTTGATAACACTAATGAAACACTCTTTTGCCTTATACATCTACTTATTTACGTAAAAGATATAAGTTGTTCTTTTTACATATAGATTTGAAAATAATTAAATCACGTAATTGCATTTGCGTAATGTAGTGTGTTTTGAATTAGGAGGTAAATTATTTTTCTGCTTTTCCTCTCTTAAGATAAAAGAAATGAAAATACTTGAGACTTAAAAGAATACTAGTAGTAGTATTTAGTACCAATAGAGTATGGAAAAACAATATTTTATTATCATCATTATCCAGCCAATGTGGCTAATAGTCATTCTTCATTTCATGGAAAATTCCATGCAGGACTGTTTGTAGACTATTATAATACATCATTGACTCTGTCTCTGAATTGGGTAGGAGTTTTTTGTTTTTTTTTTTTCTTCTAGATTTTCAAGAATTGGGGGGTGTGGAGCCCAAAGCTGGTCCTTTGCTTTGCTGGCTTCAAGCTCTCCATTGTTGGTTTTTAATGGGGTTTGTCTGCTGACAAAGACCATACTTTCACTTTGGCCCAATCCAACAAAATAAACATCTCTCTCAATTCATCACTCCCTTTTCACTTTCTCTCTCTCTTTCTCTCTATGTATAATCTTCCATCATCATATTCATCCTCAAAGAAAAAGTGACACACAAAAAAAAAAAAAACTAGTTTATTTTTTTTTTCCTTTGATTTGATTGATCCACAGATCTAACCTCTTTCACTTTCAGATCTTCTTGCTTTTTCAACTGTAAAGGTCAGTTCTTTTGTTTTTCCTTTTGAACTTATCCCTTTATCTGATACTTAATTTTGGTGCTTTATTAACTGTTGAATTGGTTTCCAATAGTGTTTGTGATTCCTGAAAAACATTGACTATTTTTATCAAGTTCCAATTTTTCTTGCATAACTTGGACTTTCTGGATCAAATTGGCTGACCATACATTTCTATGTTAAAATTTTGTGAATTTGACTACTTATATTTTTGAAGTTCCTTATTTTATTGCTGTTGACTTTTTCTGTTGAACTAGAAGCAGCAATTGATATTTGCATCCAGAGATTTAAAGATGCCATTTTATTTTAATTTTGTTCTTGTTTGTTGATGCTGTTGTTTGACTTGCAGTCCACAGAATTTGCTGCTGCAAAATTGAGGTTTATAAAAGGCAGCTTTGAGTTGAGTCCCGCTAAATGTGGAGACTGAGATGAGGTATGTCATCTGGATTAATGAACTTGTTGAGGGCCTGCTTTCAGCCAAGGGCAGATGGACATGTTCATACAGGTTCAGATGCCGGCGGTCGTCAAGATGGGCTCCTATGGTATAAGGATATTGGACAACATTTTAATGGAGAGTTCTCAATGGCTGTAGTTCAAGCTAATAATCTACTGGAAGACCAAAGCCAACTTGAATCTGGCTGCTTGAGCTTAAATGATTCTGGTCCTTATGGTACTTTTGTTGGAGTTTATGATGGCCATGGCGGTCCTGAGACTTCAAGATTCATCAATAATCACCTCTTTCAACATCTCAAGAGTAACTTCTTCTTTCCATTTTGTATCCATTATTGAGCTATTTTGGGTGATTCATGACCAGAGGGGGGCTGAATCTGTTTTGTTGCTTATTCACTTAAACTTCTTGCCTATAATCTTGCAGGGTTCAGTTCTGAGCAGCAATCAATGTCTGTGGACGTGATTCGAAAGGCATTTCAAGCAACAGAAGAGGGTTTCCTCTCTGTTGTATCAAGACAATGGCCGATGAAACCACAGATTGCTGCTGTTGGATCATGCTGTCTTGTTGGAGTTATCTGCAACGGGACATTATATATTGCCAACCTTGGTGACTCTCGAGCAGTCCTGGGTAGGCTTGTCAAGGCAACAGGGGAGGTACTTGCTGTTCAGCTCTCTGCAGAACACAACGCAAGTATTGAATCCGTTAGACAGGAGTTGCAATCTTGGCACCCAGATGACCCTCAAATAGTAGTTCTAAAGCACAATGTCTGGCGTGTGAAGGGCCTTATACAGGTACCTTTTCCTTTGCGGTTCTATGCAGTTCCTATTTATGTTTCTGAGCTCTAATTACCATTTCAGTATGAGAATTACACAGTGTTGTTCCCATAGAAATTCTAATAATTACATTTATTAGCAATTAGTATCACTGTAGAAGTAGACGACACTGGAGGGTAAAGCATCACTTTCACGTCTTACGTTTCCCTTTTAGTATTTGATTTTTGTGGCGAATCATTTGGAAGTGAAATGATTTTGATTTTGATATCCTTATCGGAAATGCTACTCTACCAGTATCAGAACTCTTTTGTCTAGGAGATTACCTTGACGAGACTGAAGTCAAATAAGCGGTTACCAATACTGGAAGGAACTCTTTGGTCAAGGAGATTACTGACGAGACTGAAGTCAAATAAGTAGTTGTTACTTACTGTTTACCCAAACATGGGGAAAGAAAGAATATATGGGAAGAGTTAAATGGGGCATTTTGTTACTTCATAAAATGCTCTTTTTCTCGCCACTCATTCCTTGTGTATCTGGCAGACATGATATATTTGCGCCTAAGGTTTTAAGAATCACCTATAGCTCTAAAAATGAGAATTTAGAGTGGTCACTCTTGTTTATTATTCATCAAATTTATGACTAATAAATGTAGTGATAGATCTTCTATAAGGTGACTTTGTTCGTCTTTTCACTTTGACATTTTGCTCTATTTGGAGACATATAGCATCTTTGAAGTTGGATCAAGCCTTCAACACTCTGCTGAACTTCTTTCAGAAAAAAAGAAGAAGCAAAGTTTATATGACTACTAATATCCCAAACAGGATCCAAAAGTTCCTATTTTTTTTTCTATTGCCTACTTCCTTCCTTGCTCTGCCTGCTGTACATGTTTAAAACGTCTAGTTTCTGATGCACTTTCTGTTGCTTTATGATTAATATAAAGATGTGCCCTTTGATTTATTTCTTTCTCCTTCATTCTTCACATAGTGATTTAACGAAAAATTTGATCGTGGAACAGATATAAGACTGGCAGTTTATTTGATTCTTGATTGTATTGCGATTTGTATTAGTTAAGTGATGTTCGATGCAACAGTGACCTACATAGGCAGCAATATAACTAGAAAAGTGGGATCTTAAAGTTCCATATCTTTGTGTTCCTAGTACAAACGGTCATCAAGATTGAGTTTTCTCGGTGTCTTGAAAGATCTAGCATCAAAACATCCCAATCTGGCTGTTGCCAAATGAAATTTTATAGAGACTCCCTCCCTTTAAGATATGCATATGATGATAAGGAGTTTCAAGAAAAGTTAGAGCAAGTATGGTTATCTGGCATCTAAAGTGGCCCTGTTTTCTGTATTTTCCTCTTAGCTTTCTTTTGGCAGACCCCCTAACATCAATGTACCAACTTGTATGGAAAATGTTTCACTACCTTTTATTTGAATTGTGGCATTCTTGTAGAGCTACAACAACAAACAAACCCAGTATAGTTCCACAAGTGGGGTCTGGGGAGAGTAGAGTGTACACAGACCTTACCCCTGCCTTTAAAAGGGCTGAGACGCAGTTTCCGGTAGACCCTCGAGACTTCTTGCAGAGCTAAATATTATAAATATAGGGTGAAGTCTAAGTCTCTCTTTCTTCTGGATTCTTGCTATAATTTTGATCTGGTCCAGAACGAAAGCTGAACCTAAGTTTCGCTTAGAGGCAATATATTGTTATTGTACTGGAACATTCTTGCGGACCTTAAGAAAGCTGTCATGAGAATGAATGGTTGATTTTCGAGGAGGCTGAGACAAGTTATTATAGAGCTAGGTACTTTCCTGGAATCGTATGAATCTTCTTGCACTTTTGTGCTGGCCAAGACATAATCGTATGAATCTTTTCCCATAGCAGATTCTTCATCTGAGATACTCGTTTTTAGGAATACTTAGTATGTCTGGCATCACTCTGAAACTCTTGTCTGTGTCTCTGGATAATCTGTTATCGCATTATTCAAATACTATTATATTCTAAGCTCCCGGTTGATCAGCATAATTTATATTTTGCAGATTTCAAGATCCATTGGTGATGTGTACTTAAAGAAACCCGAATTCAACAGGGAACCATTATATGCTAAGTTTCGTCTCCGCGAGCCATTCAGTAGGCCCATATTGAGCGCAGATCCAGCGATTTCAGTGCACCATTTGCAATCTCAAGATCTATTTGTCATATTTGCATCGGACGGTCTTTGGGAGCACCTAAGTAACCAAGAAGCTGTCGATATTGTACAAAATCACCCACGCAATGTAAGATATTTGAACCAATCTCGTGCATCTCTTTAGTTTGTTAGTGATTCTTCATAGGACTTTTTCCATGAAAAGCATTATAATTTCTCCAAATCCACAAATGCTGAATAATAATATTGCAAATGAAGTAAAGAATGGAGATTTGTATTGTAGTTGAAATTGTAATTGCTTTTTGTCATTTTCTGGCTCCTAAATCTGATCCTTTTATGGTTGACATCCTATATCTTCCTATTCATGGTACGTCGCAGTATGAGTTGTGTTTTAGACAATATGAGTTGTGTATATAATTCGTGTAATAGACATATCCGGTTAAGGCTACCCACTTCGGTGATCCTTACCAGTTTTTTTTGTTTTCCTTAACCTATTATATGACTGGATTTAACAAAAAAAATGTTGTGTAAAGATTGATCCAGCAATGTGCTTTACATTTGGACCCAATTACACAAACTATTACTCCTGCTAAATCTCATAAATGCAAGGTGATCCGGTGAATGCCATGATTCTTTCTCGTGTTTAAGTTTTTTCCCTTTACAATGGATTTGCCGGAAAAAGAAAAAAAACAACAACAAAAGGGGCCTTGGGAGGGGATTTGATGGAACAAGATGTTTGGTATGAAGGATAACATTTTCAGGAAAACATTTTACAGAAGACTGTCTCACTAAGATTTAGAAACTATTTCAAAATATACTATTTGAGAAAAACACAAGCCAAGAAAGTTGTTTTTCCCCTTTTTAGTGTTTGGTTGGCAGCAAATGACTTAGTTCCTTCATACGAAACACAATTAAGTGGGAAAACTAGTTTTGCCTTACATATAGCGGGAAAACTGTTCTTACATAAATTCAGAATTTGCCTGCTCAGCATAGATGATGTACTCTAGACACTATATATTTTGCACCTTGCAGAAGAAAAATTTGCAGGATGAACCTCATTTAGATCTTATTTGCCCCTTGGCAGGGAATTGCTAAAAGATTAGTAAAAGCTGCATTGCAAGAAGCAGCAAAGAAAAGGGAAATGAGGTACTCAGACCTGAAGAAAATTGATAGGGGAGTCCGTCGGCATTTCCACGATGACATTACAGTGGTGGTTGTATTCCTTGACTCAAATGTTGTAAGCAGGGCTAGCTCTGTCAAGAGTCCTAATGTTTCTGTTAAAGGGGGCGGCATCACTCTGCCTCCAAACACACTTGCTCCATGCACCACTCCAACGTAAGTTGATGGCTATTTCAAAAGGTGGTCGTTGTTGCTGTTGTTGTCACTACTCTTTCCTTGTGAATACGAGGTAGCTTCTTAAAGATAAAAGGCAGGTCTACGAAATTTTTAAATGTACACCATAATCTAACTGAGACTAATACTCGGATTTAGTACCAGTGTAACAAAGGGCGGAATCTCAGTGGATCATTACACGGATTTAGTTCTTGAGCACAAGGGACCGGGAAAAAAGAGATCCTCACAAAATGTTAATTCGAGTTTGTCTCACTTAGCCTCTGTTATTCCTTCAGAGTTATCGGTCTTTTTTTTCCTCTTGTAAATTATGTGACCTGGTGGTTGTAAATGTTTTAAAGCCTACTTAATTCTTTAATGGTATGTTTCTGAGTACTGCTATAGTAATAACCTGGTCAAAATTGTATGGCGTAGCCAGTTTTTCGGTTGGCTATTGAAAAATAGCCACCAATCTAAATGTAATCGATTTCTAGCCATTTTAACTTAAAATATATGGTAAAATGACATAACTGCCCTTGACCTTTTTAGCATACTGTTTAGTAACTTTTTATCGCCTTTCTCTTTGTTTTATAGCATTGTACGGATTTAGCTTTCCTGAGAAAGCACTTTTCTTCGAATCTTGTCTGGGTTATGTTCAATTTTCTTCAAAATTATGGGTGAGTTTTGTTTTTTACGATAATGTGTTTGAATTTTCGTTATTATTGTTGGTTGTTTAGGTTTAATTTTCGTTATTATTGTTGATTTCAGTACCGTTAGAGTTTAAATATTTGTTCTATTTTAACTTTTACGATTTTTCTCTGTTCATTAGTTTGTCTTATTTCTGGTAATTTTGTCATTCTAGTAATTTCTTTTTCAAATTTTTTCTAGTCTCTATATATTAGGTTTAATTTTCAAGTATTTTCTTGTTTCATCTGTATTTTAGATTTCTTCAGTTCTTGTCAAATTTTGATATAGTTGAGTTATGTTTCACATTATATTTTACGGGACATCTGCTGTGTGCGAATAGTAGACGTCTACTGTGTGGGTTTTGATTATGTTTTTTGTTTATTAAATTTAGTAAAATTTTGTTCAGTATATTATACTGGAAGTCTGTCTTGTGTATGTTTATCTTCCAGCATGTTATACTGGATTAATATTATAATATAGTTGAGTTTTGTTTCGTCCCAGTATAATATACAGGACATCACCTGTGTGTAATCTTTTTTTTCGATTATATTATACTGGAGGAGTTGAGTTTGGGCTGTATTTAATACTGGATGTCAATACTCCAAATTTCGATGTTAGTATAATTTGAACAATATACTAGAACGAATATAATCCAGTATATTATAATGGAGAAGTGGAAAATAATGAAAATTATGTAATTAGAACAATTTACTGGAATTAATGAATATAATATTTAGTGTCCTGTATATTATATTATGGTTGAGTTTTGTTTGGTTCCTGTATATTTTACAGGAATTCTATCGTGTTTAAGCTTGTTGTCCAGTATATTATACTGGAAAACTAGCATCTGTATTCTGTATTTAATATTTAGTGTCCTGTATAATTTACTGGAGTTTTATATTGTAAAACCGCTATATCCTGTAATTATTACTGGAAATGAATATTGCTCATTTTTTTATCCTATACTCATCCAATTTTTATTACCTGCTATAGTACATGCTGGAATTGCTATCATGTAGGAATATAATCTAGTATATTATAATGGAGAAGTGGAAAATAGTTGAAATTTGGTAATTAGAACAATTTGCTTGAATTAAATAATCTAATTTTTAGTTTCCTGTATAATTTGCTGGAGTGTTATATTGTATAACCACTATATCCTGTAATTACTACTGGAATCGAATAATGCAGATTTTTTTATCCAATTTTTATTACCTCCTATAGTACATGCTGGAATCGCTACTCATGAAGGAATATAATACAGAATATAATAATGAAGAAGTGGAAAATAGTGAAAACTTGGTATCCAGAACAATTTGCTGGAATTAAATAATTTAATATTTAGTGTCCTGTATAATTTACTGGAGTTTTATATTGTACAAACACTATATCCTGTAATTGTTACTTAAAATGAATATTGCTCATTTTTTTATCCTATATTCATCTAATTTTTATTACCTCGTATATTATATGCTGGAATCGCTACTCATGAAGGAATATAATCCAGTATATTATAATGGAGAAGTGGAAAATACTGGAAATTTTGTAATTAGAACAATTTACTGAAATTAAATAATTTAATATTTCGTTTCCTGTATATTATACTGGAGTTTTATATTGTAAAACCACTATATCCTGTAATTACTACTGGAATGAAATAATGCAGATTTTTTTATCCTATACTCATCCAATTTTTATTACCTGCTATAGTACATGCTGGAATTGCTACTCATGTAGGAATATAATCTAGTATATTATAATGGAGAAGCGGAAAATAGTTAAAATTTGGTAATTAGAACAATTTGCTGGAATTAAATAATTTAATTTTTAGTTTCCTGTATAATTTGCTGGAGTGTTATATTGTAAAACCACTATATCCTGTAATTACGACATAGTGGTTTTTTTGTAATCAAATCAAGAAGCAAAAAAAAAAAATACACAGTATTAATATTTTGAAAAACAAGAATATTGAATATATATTATTTGGGATTACATCAGCCAATGCAAGTTTATTGTATATATTCAATCATTTTTTTTCCTATATTTTCTTGCATAAGGATGAACTACAGCAGAATTTGTGCAATTTGTTCTGGTATGCCCATATTTTTTGCAACGACTACATCTTGGTTCCTTCTTGAATTCTGTACCGGAAACATGTCGATTCTTCTGTCTTCTTCCTAGCAGTACTTTGGCATCTGGAGGCTTAGTGATTTCTGATTTAATAGTGTCTGGTATAACCCATGTTGTTGCATCACCTACAGAATTTACTTGCCCTTCATACGTTTTCAACCAAAAGTCCCTTGAAAAATAGGCTGAGCAAAAGGCCGATTTCTTTTGATGTATACTCTCAATTGCAGCAATTGCATGTTCACATGGCATCTTATCTAGCTGAAATTCAGAACAATCACATGTTCTTTTGTCTAGATCAACAATAAATTCCATACCACCTTCTTTGACATTGAATTTGAGTCTATCAATGGGCAATACTCTAAATGTAAAAGCTGGTTGAATTTTTGCTTCCAATGTTGCTTCTGCCCAATTTGATATATCACGGAATATTCCTTCTGCAAGTGTCCTTCTTTCATAGAACCAGCTTTGCAATTTTTCTTGTATGAAATCCATCATTGTTAAAATTGGCAATTCTCTTGAACATCTTAAAACATTATTTATTGACTCAACAATATTTGTTGTTAACATATCATATCTTCTTCTGGGACAATGTGAACGAGCCCACTTCCTGGCGGTTCCTCCATCAAATAATTGAAAGTTTTCTTATCAACAGCAGCTATTTGGGACATGAAGTCATCAAATTCTGATTGAAGGTGTACTCTTGCAGCACTTTGAAAGAGATTTATCAGAGTGTTTCTCACTCTTCTTTGCTTTAGATTCTTTTCTAAATGATAGATGCAAATTCCATGGTAGCACTCAGGGAAAACCTTTGCAATTCCATTTGCAATAGCCTTGTGTCGATCTGACGAGAACATTAAATCATTACGAATCCCAATTGCTTTTCTTAATTCCCTGAAATACCATTCATATGATTCATTATTCTCTTTATCCACTACTCCAAAAGCTATAGGAAAAATCTGGTTATTTGCATCTTTGGTAACACCCACTAATAGAACACCTCTATATTTATCTTTTAGAAATGTTCCATCAACAGCAATTAGTGGTCTACAATACTTCCACCCAGAAATTGATGCCCCATACATAAAAAACATGTAAACAAATCTGTAAAAAGAAAAGTAAATAAAATTCAGTGAACTTACACAGTATAATATACTGGAGATAAAGCTCATGCCACACGTCCTGTAAAATTTACGGGCATCAAACAAAAATTAACTATTTTATAATATTCTTCCAGTATAACATACTGGAGTTCCATTAACATCCAGTATAATATACTAGATAAAATAAACTAAAAATACAAAATTTTAGGTTGAACAGAACTCACCCAGTATATTATACAGGACAAAAAGCTTATAAAATACAGATATCCTGTAAAATATACTGGATGACAACCACTAACAACCTGTATAATATATTATACAAAATCAAATACAATAGATTGAAGAGAAGTCACCCAGTATAATTTACAGGAAAGAAAGCTTTTACAATACACACGTCCTGTAAAATATACGGGAAGACAAACACTAACTTCCTGTTTAATATTTAATATTTTGTTTCCTGTATATTAAACTGGAATTATATATTGTTAAACCACTATGTCCCGTATTTAATAATGGACATAAAAAATCACTCAAAAAAAGTAATAAATAAAAAGAACTCATCCAGTATAATTTACAGGAAAGAAAGCTTATACAATACACACATCCTGTAAAATATACTAGACCCAACCACTAACATCCTGTATAATATACTAGACAAAATAAAATACAATAGATTGAACAGAACTCACCCAGTATAATTTACAGGAAAGAAAGCTTATCATAAATAAGAAATTTACCTGTTTTCTTCATCTCTCACAATATTTGTATATGATCCTGGATTTTTTTGTTCCATCATATACAAATATGATGACAGCTGCTCATAATTGTGTTCAGTTGTTCCTCTTAACAAAGATAACCCCTTTTGAATAGCATGCCATGCTTTTCCATAACCAACATCAATTCCATGTGCTCTTTTCATCTCTGAAATGACAAACTTAGGTTTTACCTCAGTAGCTATGTCTCTTAAGTTGTCAATCACGTAATCTCTAATCACATTTGAAGTTGCTTGCCTTTGATCTGATTTTCGAATATCAACTGAGCACTCATGTGTTCTCTGAAATTTAACTATTTTAAAAAGTGTTGATTCCTTAATTCTTGAACCTCGAACAGTCCAAGTACACTTTTCATCAGTACATACCAAAGAGTATCTCGTGTTACTTGACCTGTTAACATAGAACTCAAAATGCTCCTTTATAGCTGCTAAGCAAAAACATCTAATCATGGCATTTTTATCTTGAAAAACAGAACCAAGTTTTACATCATCCAGTGATGCATTTTCCTTTAATATTATTGATGGAGATTCTTTTGCCTTTCCTTTTCCTTTCCTTTTTCTTCCTTCAATACTTTGTAGTGATTCAATGTGCTAATCTTCCACAGGAATTACAATTTCTTTTTCCATTGTAATATCATAAATTGGATTCTCCTGCTCTTCTTCAACTTGAGATATCAGCAACACTTGCTCTTCCGGACCATATGTGTTTCTGTGCAATAACTGTTGATTATCAATTTCCATTATTGCATTACCTTCTAGTTGTTGATCTGGTTTTTTTGATATTTCAACAACAAATTTCGAATCTTTATAGTATGGATCATTTTTTAAAAGAATCATACACATAATATGATCTTCATCTTTTGTCACTTCTATTCCCTTAGAAGTACCTAGGTTGATATTAAGCCATACATTTGCTTGAAACTTTTTGTTGTCAAGCTCTATAACTTCAAAAAATTTTCTAAGGAATTCTTCAAATGAAGTCCCATCATTTATCAGGAGGAGCTTCGTTTTATGATCCAAGTACTTGTAATCTGCTGTCCATTTGCCATCCAACGCAATAATCAAGAAATTTGTATGCATCCTGTATTTAATGAACCCAAATAATTAGATATCTAGAAATTATACTGTTTAAAAATATAATATTCATCCAGTTTAACATACTGGAGAATAAGCTTACACACAGGTGACGTCCCGTAAAATATTCTGGATTCAAACAAAACTCAATTATATTCTAGTGTTAGAACTTATCTAGTATAACATATTGGAGGAAAAGCTTACACACACGTGATGTCCCGTAAAATATACTGGATTCAAACAAAACTCAATTATATTATAACATAATATCTACATTAACGAAACATACTTCAAGTGAATTATAATGCTTTTTTTATGAGATTTCCAGTATAATAAGCTGGAAAAATCTTCGCTTTAGATATTAATTTAGAAACGTGCAACAAATTATACTGGCGCTATGTTCTACATTGAGAAAATTAGACAATAACACAGATTAAAGCATTAAAAACAAATCAAAAATTCGAAAAATTAAATTTTTTTACTGATACTTTGAATTTTATGGTTTGAATTCTTGATCGTAGAAGAAATTTAAATAATTAGACAAATTTTAGATAGAACTTACTTCGATTTGCAGATTGACGACGGAAATTTTGCTAAAACTTCGATTTGCAGATTGACGCAGAACGATTTTGCTAACACTTTGATTTGCAAATTAACGCCGGAAGATTTTGCGAATACCTCGATTAACGCCGAAATATTTTCCTAATATTTCGATTTCCAGATTGACGGCGAAAATTTTCCTAATAACTCGATTTGAAAATTAATGCCGGAAGATTTTATTAAGTTTTGTTAAAAGAAGAATTTAAGGTGAAGTCGCGTAAATTAATAAAAAAAGTAGGGGTATTTTAGTCAATAAAATATTACCGCACTAAATTAGTGGCTAAATTTCGTTGATCGGTGATTATGTGGCTACATTTGATTGACCAGGCGAAAAACTGGCCATTTTTGGATTTTTCGCAATAACCTGTGAACCAGGATAAGATCAGCTGGACTTCCTGTCCAGCTTGAATATATAATCCGTGTTTGGTTCCAAAACCTAATCTCTGAACTTTTATCCTGTTTTATTTATTTACCTACCTAATTTGCGTCTACCTTTGAAAATTACTCTACGGCTTCTTCTTTTTTCATTGAGGTTTTCACATTTCGAAATATTTTTGCTCTTACCGTCTATTCTGATTAACAAATTCTTTCAACTTCTTTTTCTTTTAATATTAAGAATTTGGGCTTAATATTATCAAAGCGAATGATAGTAGCACAACAGAATTCAGGCGACAATATCATAGAATTCATCTCGAACTCAATTCCTCTAAAAGTCGCTTTATTATTCAATTTTCTAATTGTTCTTGTGATGGAATATCAAAACTTAAATACGAGATTAAAGAAAAAATTGATCGCGAAGGAAGTAACAAAAAATTATTAAGTGAGTTTTCAATCACTAAATCCAAATTTCGTTACATCAATAGAAAAGGTTAGACTCTTTAACTTCTATGATTGAGGGTTATAACGAAAATTCTCAACCACTCAACTTAATTAGAGAACAAATAATTATCGTACACAAATATTCCTTAATCAGATTTACAAAGAGAAAAGAAAAGGACCTGAACTGAAGAAAATAGTTATTTCTAACATAGAGAGAGAAAGGCGGGTAATAGCCGTTGGAGTACAACAGGATGCTAACTAGCTGGAGACTCTTTCCTGCTTCGTTCACCAGGCCGAAGTACTGTCCAGGTGGATTTTATTGCAGGGCTGAGGATCAAGTGAGTAGTATAAATGAAGGTCAAAAGAAGAAGAAGAAGAAGAAAGTGTTGATAGTAGGTTCAGGCTGGGCTGGCCTTGGAGCTGCTCACCATCTCTGCAAACAGGTTTGCCACTTGATTTAAGTCTACATCAACTTCAAAGCAATTGTAATTGTAAGCTGTTATTCAATTTCAGGGCTTTGAGGTCGTTGTTCTTGAAGGTGGCTATGAATTTGGACCCAAAAATCAATCCCTAAGCCCTGACGATGTGGGTATTCGCGGTAAATGATAATACTTCCCGCCAATTTATTTGTTTTCAAGAGATTACTCTGATCCAGTATTTTGTTTTGATTCTCTCGTTCTAGTTTGAAATAGTTGAGTATTGTCTTACTGATCATAGGTCTGGTTGTAGAATTTAAACTTTCCAAAAATAGGTGAATAGTTGCAAGAACAAAGATAAACCAGTTGGCTTTCCATTTGTTAGCAGCTTATTGAAAATTTAGAATATACAGTTGGATTTAGTTTCTGCTGCAGCCGGTGCAGTTGTAACCTATTTGAATTAGTCATGTAATACCGCTAACTCATACTCTATTCTGCCAAATTTAACTTAAAACTTGTTTCCTGGATTCCTTTCACAAGATATTTCTTGCATGTATTTCCTTTATTCCTTGGAGTAAAAGGGCACAAAAAGTTGAAACAAATGGTGTAAGATACTGAAAACAACATTCTTACAAACACAGCTGAGAGTAGGAGACCACACTTGGTGACGACACTTGATACATGTTCTCCCTCCCCCTTGTGCACAGATAAGTTTTCGCAATCAATCAAAGAATTTAGAGAACTGAGTTTTACAAAGTTTCTATACTTGTATACTTTAAACCATTAGTATTACAAAAGTTTTCTGATTTTTCAAATTTAAGCTAAATTCTAGAGAAACTTATGCTAAAATGTACTCCTATTAGAAACTGTTGGACGTGTTATAGGAAAATAAATAAAGGGTAAAAAGCGTAAACATAAGCCAGTGCACGTATAAATTGTTGGATGTCCTGATGTCAAGAACATAGTAGGAACCAATAGTGGATATCAGACTTGGACTATATCACTTCCTAGGTAATAGGCATTTGACAAGCAATCCGAGTTATGCTTTATTTCTCTTTTTTTTTTGTTTTTTTTGAGGATCTGCATCTGCACTTATTTGAAACATGGGTTGGAGAGACAAATACATGAGTAGTGCTATATTTGGTTTAGAGCATTATATGCTGATATTTTAGAGGGAAAGTTAGATGGCTGAGTCTAAGGAATTCACATTTTTCTCTAATTTTTAGCATATCCACCAAGAGCAGTTACCACTTTTTTCAGTGGATATCATTTTTCTCCTCTAACCAGGTGTTTGAATATGTTACTAGGTTTCTGGTATCCCTATCGAAATATATTTGATCTAGTTGATGAGATTGGTATCAAGCCCTTCACTGACTGGACTAAATCTGCTCAGTACTCGGCAGAAGGATTGGAGGTGAATTTTAGTGTTTTTGCCTTCACTGATCCAAACATGCAAAGTATGAGGTGAAGGGATGGTAGTACATGCTTTTACATTTTAACTTTTGGACTTCATTGTTACCATTTTGCTGCTCTCTTTCTCATTTATACAAGTTTGCAACATTATTAATATCTGAAGTATCACTTAAAAGATAGGTGTGTGCTAGTAATGATCCACAATGTAGTCAGCTGCTTTCGCAATTTTTCATTACTGAAAGGTCTGTTCTTCAGGTTCAGTTTCCATTACTCCAAAACGAACCCCAATTGCCTGCTCCTCTTGGATCATTATTATACAGTAAGGTAAATCCTTAATGACTGATATCTGTCACCGCACATTTATTTATCTTGACCTTTTATCTACAATATTGAACATCAATATCTTTCTAATCGAGTTTAGATCCTCGTGGTTGTAGTTTGTTCGAGTCCCATTGGTGGATCAATTGACATTGCTTCCTCTGATGGCTGCAAGTATGATCTATCAAATGCTTTATCCAAACTCTAAAAAAATACTTGCTACAAATCCATCTACTCATGCTTTCTGATCTGCTTGCAGTAATAGATTTTGACTACACCGATAGTGCCTGGACAAAATATGATCCAGGTAACAGATATCTGCAACATTCAGCTTCATTCATGGATAGGTCATAGTCATGTTCAAATGACAGACACATAATGTTGTTTAAGTGCCTTTATTGAAGAATATTACATTTAGTTACTGCAAGGGAGCTTTTGAAGCAATTTGGGTGCTCAGAAAGGCTTTATCGCGATATTCTTGATCCATTGATTGAAGTGGGCCTATATGCCCCTGCGGAGCAATGTAGTGCTGCTGCCACTCTTGCTGTGCTGTACTACTATGTCATTGCTCATCAGGTTTTCTGCATTTTCTCCTTAGCGTTATGCTGCTCTTTCCAATTGATGTTGACATTTGATGAAAATCAGTTCTCAAGGCTGGTAAAGCAAAAGACATAAAGAACAAAAATTTTTTGATATTGTCAGAACAAGGCTGTGAAGTGTGATACCTTCTACTTTGGTCAATTATCAAAAATCTTTTGCTAGAATGATGAATAAAGTAACCACTAATTATGTCAAAAGCTAGGTCGACAAATGGAAGAAGTTGGTCTGACAGAAAGAAGTAAAGGAAAATTCCACAATAATCGTGATATGTATTGATATACATACAACATTATTAAAGAATCTGGGCATTCAATTCAAAATCTTAATATAATAGGTGTAGTAGTACAAAAGCTTTAGAAGAACCGTTTCGGTGCCCTTATATATGTACCCAACGCGGGATACTATATAACTTAACACCCACCGATATGCATGGTTAACCTGACTTTGGGGTTCATATGTAGATTTGAACGCGAACTTATCAGCCTGAGAACGGGTTTACTATACGATAGTTCTAATACTATGAAAAAGAATCAGAGCATCCAACACAAAACCTTAAGGTAGATTATTTAAGACCTCTACCCTATGAGGGATATTATATCTTTCAACACCCTCCCCTACTTTTAACCCAAATATAGGGTTCACACTAGAAAAGGACTTGTAAAAGGTTGGACTAGTATCCTGTGAAAATATAGAAACCTTTTATAAAACACTTTGGGTATCCTTTATATTCAGTATGGACATTGTATAACTCAACACCTAAAACCTTAAGGTAATGAGGGCTTAGGATTTTATACTAACGTTTTCTCGCACCTGTAACCCGATTTTAAGACTCATACTATTGGTGTGTGTGAGGACAAAGTTCTACATGGAAAGTAGAAAAGAAAAAGGAGCTACTTATAAGGAGTAGTCTTAATGGTATGGGCCTTTTGGGGAATACCGTGCAGGCTAGGCCCAGAGTGACAGTATCACATCATGTTAAAAGAATCTTTGTGTCATTTTAGCCAACAACTGGTATCAGAGCCAATGGCTTGGCGGGACGATTATGGAGATGGTGGATTGTGGCATGGGGACCCGCTTAGTGCCTTTGCCCGTCTACGGATCGGTTTACAACCTTTAAACGTAGCTTTGAAGACGCACACACAACCTTTGGGCTTTGGTGACTGTAATTACTCGAATCATGTGAGTTGTACACAGTTAATCTCCAAAATTAGCTCATGAATGGTAGTGGGTCATGTGGAACTTAGTTCAAAAGGGAGATTGTTAAGTGTGTGTGGAAAAAGTCCCACATGAAAAATAGAAAGGAAAAAGAAGCTACTTATAAGGAGTTGATACTCTTAATGGTGTGAGACCTTTTTGGGAAAACCGTGCGGGCTTGGTCCAAAGCGGACAGGATCACACAATGTTAAGAATATCTTTGGGCCGTTTTAACCCAACACATACATTGGCCTAAACTGTGGACGTATTAGCGTGAGAATGAGCTTCTAAAAAATATGATACTATGTGAAAGACTCTGAGCGTCTAACCAAAACTTTAATTCAATAAGTAAAGTCAGTTATGACCTTATATACCTGCTATGGGACATTATATCTCTGAACAATAGAGTCTGTAACTCCTCCAGATTGATCAATTTCATGCATAAGAAAGTTTTAAATTGAAATCTGATTCTATCTGTCACAGTTATTTGATTATAATGTGCATCCACTTTGTGCAAACAATGATCCAAACTGATGCATGCATCTAATTGCTCCACTTACTGGACAAAGTGATGACCATCTTTTCTTCTATTATTGTTACAGGGATTTATGAATTTATAGATTCTTCATTTTCTATTTTTGGTAGAAGCACTTTGATTTGGCATGGTGTCGCGGGAGAGTTAGAGAACAAATTTTTGAGCCTTGGATGGATTCCCTCAAAACTCAGGGATGCAAATTCCTAAAGGGTAGAAAAGTAACAGACATGTTGGTGACTGGGGAAACTAACTGCATCTCTGAAGTAGTATGTGAGAAAGAAAGTTTTGTGGCTGATGCTGTAATCTTCGCTGTCGGAGTATCCACTCTGCAGGAGATTATTCAGAACAGGTATATATGTTCACGCCTATTAGTTACTGTGAAAGCACATGTCGCAATGTATGCATTGCGCTCTACCCTCATCTTTGAGTTACAGCCAAGTGGGTTTTGTGTAGTCTGACCCAGCAATAGCTTGCTTTCTTCCTACTGCTCCAACCAAAATAATAGAACTTCAGAAATATGGCTCTATGACCACCAGGAAATGGAGCGGTTTGACTTTTCCTTTCCATTTCTAATGGGGTGTTTTTCTTCTTGCAGTGCAGCATTATGTTCAAGGGAGGAGTTTCTCAAGGTTTTGAACTTGGCCAGTATTGATCTACTTAGCGTTAAGCTACAACTTGATAGGAAGGTATGTGGTGGGAAGTCCTTTTTGAACTTGTCGCATGTGATCCAAAAAAATATTGCACTTTTATCTTGCCTGTATAAAATAAATGCTTTTTACTCTAAGACAACAAAATTTTAGAAGTGGCTGCAATCTACTTAGTTTTTCTGCTTGTTAACTTCTAAAGGTACACAAAGAGCCAGTGCAGCTTCTTATATGTAAAGCACTGGTCTCATCTTCACTTAAGCATCTCCGTTGTTGTTCTTGAAAATTACTTTTTGATGGAATGCAAATTCTCTAGTGGTCACATAGTGAGGAAAGTAACGACTAGCACCACTAGCATCCCCTTGAAAGATCATCGTATGATGTCTTTTCCATATTGCTTCATGATTTTTCTGATATTATTTGCTTTCTTCACATTGCTTGTGGAACTGCTGATGACATTCTCTTCTTTCATCTTGCTCGTCCCGTATGGAGTAGTTATTGATGTTCAGAAAATTGACTCTAGCTTATTCTATTATATGGTATCTTCATGACTCAACAGGTCAACATTCCAAATGCATCCAACGTATCATCTGGGTTTGATAATTCACACGCATGGACTTTTTTCGACTTAAACATGATATATGATGAGCATAAAGAAGATACAGTAACAGTGGTGCAGGCTGATTTTGTAAGTACAGGTTTCCTCTTTTGAATTAATTTTTACTTTTCGTTCGTAGGTCCCAGTTTTCCCTTTCCTTAAATACATGAAGAGCTATGCCAAATGTCATTCTGATATATGTTAATCGGGTTTTAAATCAGTGCAGTATCATGCAACTGACTTGTTGCCCCTGAAGGATGATAGAATTGTTAGTAAAGTGATGTCTTCCCTTTCGAGGTGCATTAAGGATTTTGAGAATGCCACAGTGGTTGACAAAGAAATTGAAAGGTTTCCAAAGTCTTTGACGCATTTCTTTCCTGGTGAGTTTCTTAAGGCTTTACTTTGCTGACTCGCGGTAAACTCTTTAATTAACATGCTTTGAACCTCAACAAAGTCCCTTGTGCCAACATTTTCCTTCTGGAATTACTAGTTGAAGACCGTCTTCTTGAGCCGATGGTCTATCGGAAACAGACTCTCTGCCCCATCGGGGTAGGGGTAAGATCTGCGTACACACTACTCTCCCCATACCCCACTCGTGGGATTTTACTGGGTTGTTGTTGTTGATTACTAGTTGAAGAGTTAGAATATATATGGATACACAAAGAAGAATTTGATTTGAGATCCAAAAGTGTAATTATATAGTGCTCATATTACAGAAGTACTCATCCAAAGAGCGTCTTTTGCCAAAATTTGCATACACCAACCAGAACATCTCAGAAACAATTCAAATGAGAAACTTTGGTCCACAATACCATATCTTTTACTTATTTCCTTTCTTCCTTTTTTTTCCACATTTTTCTTCCGTGGCTTTGAAAAGGTTCTTACAAGTACATGATGGGTGGATCAACATCTTTTAAGAACTTGTTCATAGCTGGAGACTGGATTGTAAACCGACATGGATCATGGGCACAGGTCATAGCTCTTGAACCGTTACTTTTCTAGTATCGTTAGCTCCTTCGTGCTTGTAATATTTTGTTGGTACAGGAGAAATCATACGTGACGGGACTTGAAGCAGCCAACAGGGTGGTAGACTATCTTGGTAAAGGTACTTCTGCAAAGATAATTCCCGTTGAGGAAGACGAGCCTCACATTCAGGCTCTACGAACTCTAAACAGGAATTTTAAGGAGATAAGAGCCCTCTTTCCGTGGTCTGATTATTTTCTTCAGTGATGTGTATGCCTTTGTATATTTCAATTATTCAATCAAAATTCCCACAGATATGTATCTAATGAGTAATGACTAGCACGTTAGTGACTTAGTGTCTTGATGCAAAAAGAATTCAGGTGTTAGATGGGTAGCTCAAGAAATATTAGATTTAGCTATAGGAGAAACAAAGAACCCAAAAATGAATTACACAACATGAAGAATAAGAACCTATGCAAGAATATGACTCTATTGATAATTGTAATTGAGTGTGACATAATCAAAGTACAGAATGCACCTTGATAACAGAAACCACTTCTCCTCTACTGGTTAACCAACTAGTAACTAACCGACTAACAAGTTGAACTGACCAATGCACTAACTCAAACTGTCATATGTTTTACTTTGGGGTTGTACTGAGCTGCACCTGAATAACTTCGTCCTTCTTAGAAAAACACCAAATTTGACTGAATGTGTATAAGAGTTTAGAAACAAGAGGAGAAACAAAGAAGAATATTTGCCTCATATCTATTATTTTATAAGTAAACAGTTCTACTTTGGAATTGAGAAGATATGCAGGTCTTTACCACAGATGATAGAAATGAAAACTATGTCAATCTAGTAAAGCAATTTGCACGAACAAAACACTGACTATTTGCTTTTCAATTATATATAGAACTACTATACTGAGATACGATTAGGAACGAACATATACGGGGCAAGGTGGCCTCCATAGTGGAAGATGAGGGAAGCGAGGCTGAGTTAGTTTGAGCATGTGAAGAGGAGTGCATATGCCCCATTGAGGAGGTACGAGATGTTGGCAGTGATAGGTCTAATGAGAGGTAAAGTTAGACCGAAGGAGAATCGGAGAGAGTGATGAGACTGAACATGGCACATCTTCAACTCATCGAGGACATGACCAGTATGGAGGTCGAGGAATAGGGTGGAAGCTTAGTAGGTAGTCGAGCGATTTCTCTCTTTTATGTGGAAGAGCATGGTTCTAGTTTAGAGCACCTTATTTGTTCCCTCTTCTCCTTATTATTAAGCAACTGCTACAAGGACTGCCAACATTATCTTATAATAAATATAGGCATTTGAAGAAAAAAAGAGTCATTCTATCATATTGAATATATCAATTAGAATATTATCTTCTACTTGCACTATTTTTCGTAACACTTTTAATTAGAAAAATACATTTAGACCATCAATATCGGAGTGATTATTATGTTTTAAAGAACTTCCAAGAATAAGGTAACATTTGTTTAGATTCTCATCATCTAGTGATCTCAATTTTTAACCAACAACAACAACAACAAATTCAGTAGTTTCCGACAAGTGGGATCTGGGGAGGGTAAGATATACGCAGCCTTACCCCTACCCCTGGAAGGACATAGAGGTTGTTTTCGATAGACCTTCGGCTAGAGAACGACTGAAAAGAATAGGTAATTGCAACAAGTAGGAATAACGGCAAGATGTAATTGCAACAAGTAGGAATAACAACAAGATGAAATAAGATTGAATCCAAGAATGCAGTCAAACTCTAGGTAGTAATAGCCATCTATGGATAAAAGATATCATACTAACACTAATGCTAGCGAACTGAGTAAGACAAAGAGAAACGTCCGACTGCCTACGAACCTTCTACCCTAATTTTTTACCTCCACACCCTCCTGTCTAGGGCCATGTCCTCAGTCAGCTCTATCTGCGCCATGTCTCGCCTAATAACCTCTCCCCAAGACTTCTTAGGCCTACCTCTACCCCTCCTGCTACCCATCAAGGCTGACCGCTCGCACCTTCTAACTGGGGCTTCTATACTTCTCCTTTTAACATTCTCGAACCATCTCAACCTCGCCTCTCGCATCTTATCCTCCACAAGGGCCACTCCCACCTTTTCCCAAACAACTTCATTCTAATCTTATCCAACCGTTGTGTCCACACATCCACCTCAACATCCTCATCTCAACTACTTTTAGCTTCTGGGTATGAGAGTTCTTGACCGGCCAACACTCTGCTCCATACAACATAGTCGGTCTAACTACAACCTTGTAGAACTTACCTTTAAGTCTCAGCGGCACATTCTTATCACACAAAACACCGGAAGCGAGCCTCCACTTCATCCATCCTGCTCCAATACGATGCGTGACATCTTCATCAATCTCCTCGTTACCTTGTATTATAGATCCAAGATACTTGAAACTGTCTCTTTTGGGGATGACTTGCGTATCAAGCCTCACCTCCATATCGCCTTCCTGGGTATCGTTGCTCAACTTGTACTCCAAGTATTCCGTCTTGGTCCTACTTAACTTGAAACCCTTAGACTCCAGGGTCTGCCTCCAAACTTCCAGCCTCTCGTTAACACCACCCCGCGTCTCGTCAATCAAGACTATGTCATCAACAAATAACATACACCATGGCACCTCACCTTGAATGTGTCTCGTCAATGCGTCCATCGCCAAGGAAAATAGGAATGGACTAAGAGCTGATCCTTGGTGCAACCCCATCATCACCGAAAAGTGTTTCGAGTCTCCTCCCGCTGCCCTAACCCGAGTCTTAGCTTCATCATACATGTCCTTAATCACCCTAATGTAGGCTATTGGGACCCCTTTAGCCTCCAAGCATCACCAGAGCACCTCTCTCGGGACTTTGTCATATGCTTTCTCTAGGTCAATGAACACCATGTGCAAGTCCTTCTTCATCTCCCTATACTGCTCCACCAATCTCCTCACAATGTGAATGGCTTCCATATTTGAACGCCCTGGCATGAAACCGAATTGGTTCTCAGAAATAGACACACTGGTCCTCACCCTCGCTTCAACCACCCTCTCCCAAACTTTCATAGTATGGCTTAGCAGCTTAGTCGCCCTATAATTTTTGCAACTTTGGATATCGCGCTTGTTTTTATACAAAGGAATCATTATACTCCACCTCTATTCATCAGGCATATCCAAATTTCCCAAAAAGTGAAACTAGGGCAGATATTATAATGTTTCGGCAATGGTTTTGCCTAAAAGGTTTCAAAGTTGTAATTCAGTCCAAATTCTTTCTACCCAAATCCTTTTCAAGTCCTTCCGATCAATCAGCGAGAATGTTTAAAGAATTAGAGGATACAATAATTTGGATCTAATACAATCAAAATGAGAGAAATAAAATGAGAGAGTCTTATTGGTGAAAACCCTCGCGGGCACCGTAAGGCGATGGCAAGCAGAGAAATTCAAATGAGAGAGTCTTGTTAGTGAAAACTCGCAAAGAGCGTTACAAGGCAACAGTGAGAAGAGAAACAAGAGAGGTTAGCAGGTGAAAACCCGCAAAGGGCGCCACTAATTAAAAAGAGGATCCTCACGACCGTTCAGCATCAACAGAACCCTAGCAAGGTTTCTTCGTTTGAAAACATGAGTTGTGATGAATTTCTGAGAGTTGGACAGTTTACACAGATCAGGCATCCAGTCCAAGAGGCATGTCATGTTCATTGAAGTCTGCATGTATTCCGGATAAGTCCTTCTTTCCTTTTCCCGAAAGGGATACCTCTCGTCTAAGTTTTGTCCATTTCATTGTTTGTTTTTCTTTGAATCCTTTTCGGTCTAATTCTGTTCTGAAACTAAGACAAAGAAAGGATGGCAAGATTGATTTACCGGGATTTTGTTTGACATGACCAATGTTCAAGAAGGCACCCAGCCTCGGTAAGGGCATCAAGTCGACCCCAACTGACCATGATTGGCCGATGTTTTGAAATTGAAAACTTGGAAGAAGAAAATCAAATTGAAGCGCCAACAAAGGCAAAATAAGCTGAAAGGTTAAGCTCCACGTGACTAACAGTCATTGGTAAAGTTGAATACCCAAAGGTCTCCCAATGCTCTGAAATTGAAGAATTTGGAAGAAAGAAGTCAAAAGCGAAATGCCCATAAAGGCAACATAATGTTGAAAAAGGGTAAGTACCGTCATGGCAAAGTTTGGAAAAGCTAAAGGTTCTCCAGAGTCAGAAATACAGTTGGTATTCAGGGAATAATCAGTTGCAGTTGAAATCATTAAAGAAGATGAGTCGAGATCAAGAGATTGAAATAATCAAATCCACAAATAGACCACCATTTTAAAACTAACGAATCTTTCTTTGTTCAGAATAGGAACAGAACAATTTTAGGAAACAGTTCGTGGAAAGACGAACACCACCAAGTGAAGTTCTCAAATCCATGATTTTCTTCCAATATGCATGCAATCATGTTATTTTTAGTTTCATTATAGGGAATCAACACCATATCTTCAATACAGGGTACTACATCCCCTGGGTGCATTACTTTCTACCTACATAGGGTACGACATTCCCTAGCAGAATATTATAGAGAAAAGATCCTCATTTTATTGCAAACATAGGGTACGACATTCCCTAGTAGCATCCCAGAGTGCCAAAAGCCTCACCTTATTGCCAACACAGGGTACTACATCCCCAGGTTGTATTTTTTCTGCCAACATAGGGTACAACATTCTCCAATAGCATCCTAGAGTTCCATGAGCCTCGTCTTATTGCCAACACAGGGTACTACATCCCCTGGCTGCATTATTTTCTGCCAACATAGGGAACGACATCCCCTAGTAGCATTTCAGAGCGCCACGAGCCTCATTTTATTGCAAACATAGGGTACGACATTCCCTAGTAGCATCCCGAGTGCCATGAGCCTCACCTTATTGTCAACACAGGGTACTGCATCCCTTGGCTGCATTACTTTCTGCCAACATAGGGTACGACATTCCCTAGTAACATCCTAAAGTGCCCACGAGCCTCAACTTATCGTCAACACATGGTACTGCATCCCCTGGTTGCCTTCCTTCTTGTTAACACAGGGTATAACATTCCCTATTATTTTAAAAAATATGTCTTTTTCAATTCTTTATTCTGCAATAGCAAAGATAGTTTAATGTGTTTTCAATAACTCAAAAAAATTTCCTAGTGCAAACTGGGGCAGAAAATTTTTGTTCGTTTTGTTTGTTTGTGATGGCTTGTAGGTTTTTCTGCAAAGCACGGATTGGATGTGCAAAAAATAAGATTTCAGTTCTTTCCAGAGAAAGTGGAATGTTTATCCCAATACAAGTCGCAATCAGCTTTGACGTAATGCATGCAGAGACATATGGTCAAGATCCATCTTCCATCATCTGATCAAGAAA